GTCAGCATATCTGCAAGGGCAACAAGAAAGGATGGAGGAGACAGCAAGCGTTCCAAGTGAAGAGTTTGCCTTCGTGTTGACACAAGCGGCAGCAGCGCTAAGCAAAGACTCAGCCTCAGGCCAGTCAGGGATCTTACCAGTCACCTGCCATCATGGTCATGAGTAAGGGATTCATTTGCGGCCAGGAAACTCCCCACTGAATTCGCAATTAAGGTGAACAGGCATAGTGGTGACCCGCGGATGCGAAGGCTAGTTTGTGTGTTTCTGAACATTCAAGCGATGCCGACGCGGACCCCGCGAATATTATTATTATTTTAAACTCCCCGTTCACGCTGCGAGGGCAAACAGAAAAGAGTGTGCCGAGTCGCGATCAGGAAACGCTGAGTTCAACTGACAACATCGGTTAGCAAGGCGCGGAAAATTCTTGTAGATGCCAGGACTCCAGTTCACCAGTACCTCACGGACATATCTTGGTCGACACCCGCCAGCGGAGATTCGCTTCGGCACTGGCCCTCCGGTGCACAGACTAGACCAATAATAATAATAATATTATAATGAAACAGGTCGCGTAATGAAGAAGCATAACGATAGATGTGCAAAGTCATGATGCCTGGTCCGCTTCTGTCCTGGGTTCACTACCCCGTGCGGACTAGACCAGGGAGTCGTAAAATACCGGTATATTACTACAAGACTGTATATCGCTGTACATCGATCAGCATGAACTCGGGTGCGTAGCCGCTATGACTGCACAAACTCTGGTCTCTGCAGCCGTCGCCATTTCTCAAAAATGGTGGTCGACGCTTTTTGAATTTCAGGGCTCACCACGACCATACATTACAACATAATAACAAGATCTCTCTGGTGGTGGTGCACTAGCACTGGTACATGGTGGTGAACACTCAGCAGGAAATCACTACACAATGGCTTGAGAGCGAAGGAAAGACTTCTTGAAGCAAAACAAATTTTGAACACGCGATCTTGCACGAGCGCGCCCCACGCAAAGTGATGCCCTGGGAAACACGACAAGCGGGCAGGTGACGCGACTTTTGTTTGTATCCTTGTTACTTGTATTAATTGTAACTAAGTGTAACTATGACTATGAGCAAGAGTACATACACGTTTATGGACTCTTGCTATGAGTTTTCAGGCAACGTGACGTCGGCACTTCGACAGCTACATGTATATTGTGCGTTTAGGATGCTGCTTTTACGTGTGAAGCAGAGTGGCGCAGCGGAAGCGTGCTGGGCCCATAACCCAGAGGTCGATGGATCGAAACCATCCTCTGCTACCTCTTTTCTTTTTTTCTTTTTTTCTTCTCCACGTTTTGACCAGTGAATGTGGGTTGATGAGCTTGATCGTACGGAACCATACCATGCATGAAAGCAGAAGTACATGTGCCTGGGTCAGGTCCTGCCGAGGTCAAGTCCTGCCTAGGCAACGACTGCTAGATATTTGGAGCGATTATGCTGGTTACAATGCTAGCAGTCCTTTTTTTTTTTTTTTTTTTTTTTTTTGCTGATAGACTTAGTGCTACAGAATGGAAATCCTTGCAGTGGGAAATAATCACTCTTTGCCAGTGCATGGAAGCGAACAAGTATCTGCTGAATCTTGAAATCCGCATCGATATACTGCAGAACCACTGCACGTGACTCTCCCAGGGGGGGGGGGGGGGGCGGGGGAGTTTCATCAAAGATGACAGCAGCATACGTTGCCCCCAATATCTGGTTCTTTAGTTCATCTACATGTACCTCCTTGCCGAGCGGGAATGGAATCAGCTGAGCCATGTGAGTGCTATAATTATATTAGACGTCCGTAACCACTCTCCAGGAGAGGGCGCAGATAATTCACCTTACTGAGCCACATTCCAGCCTTTAGGAAAGTCGCAACAACGTTGGTTCGCCGAACAACAACATCTTCCGACACAGGTTGTGACTAACCGCTTCCCGCCAGGTCGGACGTGCTTTCACTTGCAAACTTGTTCCATGGAGCAGTTATTGCCTGTTGGTGAAGTTTCGCTTTTTCGTTCTCGCCTTTCCTTGCACATGTCGCTGGTCATTTGCATGCGCTTTCACATTGGCATGCGCTTTCACATTCGCATGCGCTTTAACAGCTAATGGTGAAATATGATCTTATAATCACAGTACTGCAACAAAGGTAAATGACCGGTATTGGTATGATAATGGAGACTGATTTAGTATAGTGAGTACAGTACTCAAATAGTGGAAAGTTTGGTGGTGAGAAACGTAGTGGAAAGTTAGGTGGTGAGAAACGTAGTGGAAAGTTAGGTGGTGAGAAACGTAGTGGAAAGTTAGGTGGTGAGAAATGTAGTGGAAGGTTAGGTGATGAGAAATGAAGTGGAAAGTTAGGTGACGCGAAATGTAGTGGAAAGTTAGGTGACGAGAAATGTAGTGGAAAGTTAGGTGGTGAGAAATGTAGGGGAAAGCTAGGTGGTGAGAACTGTAGTGAAACGTTAGGCGATGAGAAATGTAGTGGACCGTTATGTGGTGAGAAATGTAGTGGAAAGTTCGGTGGTGAGAAATGTAGTGGAAAGTTAGGTGGTGAGAAATGTAGTGGAAAGTTAGGTGGTGAGAAATGTAGTGGAAAGTTAGGTGGTGAGAAATGAAGTGGAAAGTTAGATGGTGAGAAATGTAGTGGACAGTTACGTGGTGAGAAATGTAGTGGAAAGTTAGGTGGTGAGACCTGTAGTGAAAAGTTAGGTGGTGAGAAATTTAGTGGAACGTTAGGTGGTGAGAAATGTGGTGGAAAGTATGGTGGTGAGAAATGTAGTGAAACGTTAGGTGGTGAGAAATGGAGTGGAAAGTTAGGTGGTGAAAAATGTAGTGGAAAATTAGGTGGTGAGAAATGTAGTAGAAAGTTAGGTGGTGTGAAATGTAGTGGACAGTTAGATGGTGAGAAATGTAGTGGAAGGTTAGGTGGTGAGAAATGTAGTGGAATGTTAGGTGGTGAGAAATGTAGTGGAAAGTTAGATGGCGAGAAACGGAGTGTAAAGTTAGGTGGTGAGAACTGTAGTGAAATGTTAGGTGGTGAGAAATGTACTTGTAGTGGAAAGTTGGGTGGTGAGAAATGTAGTGGAAAGTTAGGTGGTGAGAAATGTAGTGGAATGTTAGGTGGTGAGAAAAGTAGTGGAAAGTTCGGTGGTGAGAAATGTAGGGGAAAGTTTGGTGGTGAGAAATGTCCACCATGACCAAAGGTTCCCAAACGTTGAGGGTAGTGGTGTAGGATTTGTTGGAGATGAAGCGGCTAAAGTATTCCACACACCAGGAAGAAAATTCTATAATATTCCCACAAGTTTACAAGAGATAGGACGAGGAAGATGAAATGCGAGTCAGCTTTTCTACTGTAACCACGGCCATAAAATAACGTGTGGATCCAAAAGTTGCACTTTGCTGGCAACGTACGAAGGGAGAGACAATAGCACAACCTTAGACACAGGCGAGTAGAAGATGGGTCTACGTGTACTTGGACTGGCAGCTCCATGCAATACCCTCACGTGACTGGCAGCTACATGCAATACCCTCACGTGACTGGCAGCTACATGCAATACCCTCACGTGACTGGCAGCTACATCCAATACCCTCACGTGACTGGCAGCTCCATGCAATACCGTCACGTGACTGGCAGCTCCATGCAATACCGTCACGTGACTGGCAGCTCCATGCAATACCCTCACGTGACTGGCAACTGCATGCAATACCGTCACGTGACTGGCAGCTCCATGCAATACCCTCACGTGACTGGCAGCTCCATGCAATACCCTCACGTGACTGGCAACTGCATGCAATACCGTCACGTGACTGGCAGCTCAATGCAATACCGTCACGTGACTGGCAGCTCCATGCAATACCCTCACGTGACTGGCAACTGCATGCAATACCGTCACGTGACTGGCAGCTCCATGCAATACTCTCACGTACATGTACATCGGTTGTACTTGTAGTACAGTAACACTGTATGTGCGTCAGAAGGAATGCTGTACAGCATTCCTTCCAATGCTGTACAGCATTGGAAGGAATGCTGTACAGCATTGGACGGAATGCTGTACAGCATTGGAAGGAACGCTGAGGGAAATTACAATAATTACAATAATTGCGATCTAAGGTGAGACGCACAAACTACAGTAGAAGGCGCTGAAACATTCTTCACTTCAAAGTCTACTCACAAAACGTATTACGCATACTGATGGGGCAAGGGCCAATTTCACACCAACGGACAACTGTCCATTGATGGAATTGAGATGCTTCGGACCTCTTGTCCCACCAAAAATTGGCTTCACAAATATAAAAACACTGTTTAATAAACACAAAATAGGACAAAGTCGTCTTTACACACTTAAGGCTTGGGCCACACCTAAATACAGCTGAGGGATTGCGACAAAAAAATGGGACATAAGACGGAACAGGTTTGCGACAACAAGAAACGACATCAAACAAGAAGACTCCCTACAGCAGAGGCGACTCTGATTTATATGGCCAAGAAGTCCTTATCAGTGAATTGTGCTAGTGATAGAATCCAGCATGATTATCTAAAAAAATCTAAAATAATAGGATATGCGAGACACATTAAGAATAGACACGAAGAGGTCGAGTAGAACAGCTATAGGCGTAATTGTTTCATTAGAAAACACACCTCGACAGTGAGACATACTGAACAGAGAACACTTTTGTTATTGTGGGCTAGCGATCAGTGGCAAGTAACCAGCTATTATAAATGTTATCAATGTATCTACTAATGTTTCATTACACTGATTTCTTGTAAGGGCTAGATGTGTGAACATAGATAAGGGGCAGTGCATTTATCAGGTTGTGTACGTTGTGACTAAGCTGCTGTTCATCAGCTTTCCAGGAGGCCATGATGTAGAAGAGTAAGCTGTTTTGGAATTCTTGTCGGTGGTGACGCTAGATGCAAACTGTTTATATTGCTGTGTATGCTGTTTCTACTACTCGGGATAATGCTAGTGGTAAAGGTGATGCTGCTGTTTCTCAGGCGTGGGATGCTGCCATTTTGGTGTCAGTGGCAGTGAAATCGGCTGCTACTGTGGTGCAAGGACGGGGAACTGCTGATTCCGTAGTGGTGGTGGTGCTGGGCGATACTGCTGGGGTAGTGGCGGTGCTGGGCGATACTGCTGATGTGATGGCGATCCTGGGTTCTACTGGTGCTGCTGTGGTGGAGGTGCTGGGTGCCACTCCCGTAGTGGTGGTGCCGGTTCTGGCTGCTGCTTCTGCTGGGGTAGTTGCGGTGCTGGCCGCTGCTGCTGGGGTAGTGGCGGTGCTGGGCGATACTGCTGATGTGATGGCGATCCTGGGTTCTGCTGGTGCTGCTGTGGTGGAGGTGCTGTGTGCCACTCCCGTAGTGGTGGCGGTGCTGGCCGCTGCTGCTGGGGTAGTGGCGGTGCTGGCCGCTGCTGCTGGGGTAGTGGCGGTGCTGGCCGCTGCTGCTGGGGTAGCGGCGGTGTGGCCGCTGCTGCTGGGGTAGTGGCGGTGCTGGCCGCTGCTGCTGGGGTAGTGGCGGTGCTGGCCGCTGCTGCCCGGTAGTGGCGATCCTGGGTTCTGCTGGTGCTGCTGTGGTGAAGGTGCTGCGTGCCACTCCCGTTGTGGTGGCGGTGCTGGGCGCTGCTGCTGGGGTAGTGGCGATCCACGGTTCTGCTGGTGCTGCTGTGGTGAAGGTGCTGGGTGCCACTCCCGTAGTGGTGCCGGTTCTGGCCGCTGCTGCTGGGGTATTGGTGGTGCTTGGCGATACTGCTGATGTGATGGCGATCCTGGGTTGTGCTGGTGCTGCTGTGGTGAAGGTGCTGTGTGCCACTCCCATGGTGGTGTAGGTGCTGGGTGCCACTCCTGTTGTGGTGAAGGTGCTGGGTGCCAACCCCGTGGTGGTGGAGGTGCTGGATGCCACTCCCGTGGTGGTGGCGGTGCTGGATGCCACTCCGGTGGTGGTGAAGGTGCTGGGTGCCAACCCCGTGGTGGTGGAGGTGCTGGATGCCACTCCCGTGGTGGTGGCGGTGCTGGATGCCACTCCGGTGGTGGTGGAGGTGCTGGGTGCCGACCCCGTGGTGGTGGCGGTGCTGGGTCCTGCTTCTGTTGTGTTGGCTGTGCTGATTCTTTGATGTTAGCAAAAGATGCAGCATCTGCTTCAGAAGCACCTCTCACGCCTGGTAATGGCTGTTCTATGTCTGATACACTCTCAGCATGCGATGAAGGAGAACAGCCAGGCTTTGGAGGCTTGAAATATTTGCCTCTTGGGTGACATCTCTTTGACTTATGGTACCGCAAGTGTGAAGTTCGAGCGAAGGCCTGACCACAGCCCTGATGATCGCATATAAAGGGGAGTTCACCTGTGTGCTGGCGCAAGTGAATATTGAGGTTTTTGTTACACTTGTACGTCTTGCCACATCCCTCCCAAAGGCAACGGCAATTAGCGGGGTCTTCCTGCTTCCTGCTTTTGTATGATCTTCCTTTCAGATGTTGATTCCAAATGTGAAATCGAAGTTTCCGGCCAGTTGTGTAGAGCTGATCACAAACGCTACCTGCACCGTTGGGCACACGCCACTTGCACACCTGGTTTGTTGAAGCTGGTTGGGGTACCAAGCGATCCCGATTTTGACTATCGTCGGCCTCTTCCGGCATCACAGCATCAGCAGTAGCGTTCGTCGCCATTACTCCTGCTACGAAACGAACGGTAGTAGAACTCTCTCCAACCTTTGGCACACGAGGAAACGGTACCCTTGCAGGGCACAGGTCTTGGTCTGCTCACAAGTAAGTTATGGTCCAAAGCAATCTTCAAGTACTAACTGGTTGTGAATGGTTTACCAGATAGAGAGAATGGTCGTCTTGGTATTCTGGACAAAGTAGGAACTGTTAAACAGTGCAGGACGACTACAGTCAACCAGTGTTTTCTAAAGTCAACCAGTGTTTTCTAAAGTCGAAAACGAACGTAGAAGTCAAGGGAACAGTACGACTAAAGCTCCTCTGTGAAATTGCCAGCAATTGCACCTAGTGGTGAACTATGCTTTAGCTATGCTTTTGTATTTCAAAAAGTGTGAGTTGCCGGTAATGGTATGAATGTGGTGATGGATCTGGTAGTGAGTATAGTGGTCTACTAGGGCAGAGGTTAGGTGGTGAGAATAGATCGTGACCGTTTAGGTAGAGTTGTATGATTGTGTGAGAGATAGAGTTGCTACAGTGGAATCAACACACCCTTTTAAGAAAGCTCTCCATTTTGCACGCACGTAGTACTGCGAAGTACGAAGGAAAATGGGAGGAAGCCATGATGCGAAAAAGCTTACAGGCGTTGTCACGGAACTCAAACATCTGATGGATCACGAAGTGTCAATGGCAACATAAAAGGTAGCAGTGTAGGAATGGGAGGATAATAGCGCTTAGTCACTGGTGAGAAATAGATACGTGTACGAGCATGGACTGTAATCTTCATAGCATCCCCTCTAATACAACGGTGGTATTAAAGCATAAGAAACTCAAACTCTCCGGTTTCGATGCAACACCACTCACACAGAAACAAACAAATTCCAAAACAAGAAGGTCACATGACCACACTGCTACATACACGCCATCTTGTGAACAAAGGTGCCAATTTATGCATGAATAAATTGTCACGCATAATTCCTCACCCTCGAACAAAAGCTCAAATATTATAAGTCGGCGAACCTTCTAGTTATACTCTACACCCATCTTTGTCACCACTGTGACGTCACTATACTTTGTGGCGTGTAGTCACTTTTCTTTTAGCGCCGCTTATTCTGTGTACCTCTCGTTCTCCTTGTGATTGACTTAGCACCTGTGCTAGTTGTGTCGGTAGGGTTCACAACACCTCCGTTCTAAACTATTTCATTCGTGTTGATTTGTCACACATGAGTTCGTGAGAGATGCCCCACACGTTCAAAGAAGATGTCCAAAAGTACCTCACGCACCAACACTGGCTGATGGCTACCGACTTCTACGGGTGAACTCTTGACTGTGGCACGGGTCATGTTACTTGGTTCGGCTATGCTGCTCTCTGTCAACTGGGTATACAAGTATGGATACTGGATGGCGACTGAGACATGAATTATTGTCTCAATACCACCCCCCCCCCCCCCCCACCCACCCACGAGTTTGAAAGTGCTACATGAATACATGATCTGCGGTCTAGGCAGGACATCAGAGTCCCCTCCCCTCCCACCCACCCCTCTCTTCATCCTCCCTCTGCTTCTTGCCCTGATTATTGAGCCCATTGCCCAGTGCAAAGTCGGTTCAATGAAAATGGGTCGGGGGGGGGGGGGGGAGCTGTTGGCCTAACAAACACCTGTGGAAGAACTCAATTGCTTAGCTCGGTGCCTCATGATGGCACCACTTCTAATGTTTCTACTGAACTGTATATTCTGTTTATGTGTCTGTATCTGTGCAGTGTGATCGTCCGTGTGTGTATCTGACACTATCTGTGTGTGTGTGTGTGTATGTGTGTGTGCATGTGTGTATGAGTGCATGTGCATGTGTGTGTGTGTGTGTGCGGGGGTGCGTGCATGCGTGTGTGAATGTCCAGGGTATCCCATGGGTCTGCCCAGTAACAGGTAAGCCACAGTTAGCAGGTCATGACTAATCATGTTCTGCAAGGACCATACTCACTAAACCTATTCAGCACACTACTGCATGCATGCATGCATGCAGTGAAGTAACACAACTGCCGTACTGGGATGGGGAGTCCACGGCTTTGCTTACCAGCATGCCGAATGATTAGGATAACAGAATCATGGTTGCAATGATGAACTGGCTCAGCAATCCACTATGATTACTGTATACAGTTTCCTCTGAGACAAAAATGCGATAATACTCATATTACCCTACATTCCCTGTGTCTTGTTTTGTGTTTGTCTCCACATGTCTCTTTGTAGGGCTGTGTTCCCAATAAAATAAAATAAAAAAAGGACACACTTCAGGCTCATTACAAACATCTTGAAAGTTTTTGTCTTCACAAGTATACTTTCAAGCCTTCTCGTCAGGTGAAATACGGGCAAGGGAAAAGGAACAGGAACAGTGGATTAAATACAGCAAGAAGGTGGTACAACTTTCAAGATGTTTGTAATGAGCCTGAAGTGTGTCCTTTTTAGGATTACTGTATATAAAGTACAATTTTTCGTTTACGAAATCTTTCGTTAGATCCCTCCACCAGCAGCTTCGTTAGGTACTAAATTTCGGTTTTGGTCGAGGTATGTCACCCCGAGCGTTCAGAAAAAAACTTTAGTTTGGTACCGACATCAGTTATTTCGTACCCCGTAACGAACGTAGCGAAAGTTAATTCCAAACGAAGTTTTTACTTATACAGTACCATGTTTAAAGCATCTTCTACCTGGTAGAAACTATGCATTGAGACCTATCATTGTGGTCATAGGGTTAGGTCATTGGGGGTTGGTTGCCAGGGAAAATGGTCTCGCCGCGTGTCTCCCACAAGGACATAGTCACACTCCCTCTCTATCCTCAGTTGTGTATTTGTTTGAGTTCTTTGCCTCAACAGTAGTACAATGCACAACTTCAAGGCGGCAGTCCTGTTTCATGATGATGTACATGGAGTTGATTGTCTCAGGCTCTGTGTTTGGCCCTTCGTCTTCCCCCAATGCAAGTGTCTTCCCCAATCCCGCCCGTCCTTCGGTGTTTTAGTCTTTAAAAAATAGTTTCCTTTGTGTTAAGCCTCGTCTTGTGAGTGGAACTGATGCTGGGAAATGGTTTCCTCTGTGTTCTCCTTGTCCTGATAGGTTGGATCCAGTTTGGACAAACGTGCATCGGTGAGGCTGAACCTGGGTCAATCTTCACCTATGAAGCTGGTCGTTTCAAAATGTGCAGAGATCGCTAAGTGAGTGCTTTGTTTATGCCTGGTATGGCTAGGGGCTTAAAATGACAAGACCGGCATACTTTCCTGCTCCCTCTTTCTCCCTGTATTTCTCCCAGTCTCTCTGACATACACACACACACACACGCTCTCATTCACTGACGCGTTCTCCCCCCCCCCCCCCCCCTCCCTCTCTCTCACTATTTCCCTCACACTCTGTGTTTGCACCTCTCTCCCACCCTTGCTCCTCCATTCCTTACCTGCAGTGCACCTGGAGCCAAGCCCCTCGTGATCACTTCACGATGGTTGGCACTGATGGCCTTCACGCTTGCTGTCCGGGAGGAGTCGATATGGACAAGTAAGAACAGTGCATGCAACATAGACTATACTACCACTTCATTTAATGACCCCCTCCACCCCCCCCCCCCGCCCCCCGTGAATGGCACCATGTTTGCTATACCCTGATATGAAACCTTCCACACAGTGAACTTTCTAATTTAAATCCGCCAATTCCTCTACTCTTACATACCAGTGATGCCATGGGAGAGGGGCGGGGTGGGGGGGGGGGGAGGGAGTTGTACCCAATCTTACAAAGGAATTGTACCCCATCTTACAGGTGGTGTACCCCATGTTACATAGGGGACATGCCCCATCTCACAGGTAACGGGTTTCATCAATGCATGCCAAGTTGAAACTGGCTTTAACACTAGACGCAGAGGGCTCCACTTTCGAAATGAACTGTAACTCGGATATAGAACGAGCCTGAAAAGCCAAGAATGGAAAATCTTTTGCGCCACCAGAGTTAAGAGAATGTGTATCATGTCGTATTTGGTGTGCAAAAAACATGTGAGCAGAGTGGCGCAGCGGAAGCGTGCTGGGCCCATAACCCAGAGGTCGATGGATCGAAACCATCCTCTGCTACTTTTTTCTTCTATTTTTCTGGTCTCGTGGCATTTGCATTTTCCTAAGACCCAAAGTATGAAGGTGCACAGAAGTAAAGCATCGCTCTGTGTGTGACTGACAATTTTTACAACTCACTGTACACCTCTGCAGGTATCACTAGAAAAAGGTAAATGCTGGGTCCAAACTCCAAACCACACGGTGCATATACATTAGGAAGTGGGACAGCGGAAAATTCTGTTCAAACGACAAAAGAAAAAAGTACACGGCCAGCCAATCATTCGCTAGCTATTTCACAAACCATGCGTGCGGTACACGTTTTGTGGCAACGAAAAAACTTTTGCTCCCCCCTCACATCCATACACATCCAAGTGTTTGCAGGTGTTGGACTGTGCAGCACCCGGCATGGCATTCACTCGCTTGGTTGGATTTCATTGAGCAGCGTGACTGTATAGCTGTATAGCTAGATACTATGCTGTTCACACACGCAGCTGTACACTGTCCCATGCAAACGTGGAACTGAGCTCAGCTCTCGCTGCGTTAGAAACACAAGGTTGGAATAGCATACAGTATTTCAAAGGACAACAACCACAACATCCCCTGTCTCTCTGGTCAAATTGATCAAAATCTGTTGTTACGTTTAACATACAGTGTAGCAGATAGTGTGTAATGGGTTATTCACACAACAGGCAAATCCACGTGCACTGGAAAGTTGCTATGGCATTTTACCTGTTGGATGAGAAAAGTGGCTGAAAGTGGCTGAAAAGTGCACGACGCGATAATCGTGGCGTCCATGAATACATTTACACCAAAAAGCTCGAAACAAGACTTGATTTTTTACGCGGCTCTTTAGAGCATGATAATTATTGTACGCGTGTTTTGAAAATTTGAAAACCCCATGGCTACTGGTCGGTGAATCATTCAAAAATGCAAACGTGCCGGTCGTCAAGTGCAGCTGTGTGAATCCACACAGCCACTTTTCTCGTATTTCACTCCCTGTAAAACGTGCAAGTGCCCGTCGTGTAAATACCCCATTACTCACCACTGGTCGCACTCCTCAAGCAGAACTGGCCTGCATGGGAGAAGTCATGACTGTGAACAATCCCGGATGACAATCTGACAGTGCATCACCATACCGGAGTGGATGAAATCAATGACATCATCACCAGCGATTGCTGCTGCACTTGTGGCCTGAACAGAAAAAGTGAGGAATAAAACAAATTTCCCTGGAGATACGAAAGATATCAATGCAGCAAATTTACCGTATTTTCCGGAGTAGATGCCGTACTGGAATATAAGCTGCACACCCCTCCCCCCCCCCCCCCATTTATTTCCACAAAGTACAGACATCTTTCCTATTTATCACCATTAATTCGATCATCTGACATTCTGAGTATAAGCCGCTCCGGTGAATTTTGAGTACTCAAAGCGTGGCGTATATTCCGGGAAATAGGGTAGTGATTTGCACACTCAGCATAAACACCATCATTAAAATCCACATTATGGTCATATATGCTCCTTGAATGTTCTTGAGAGAAGAAAAAAAGATTTAAAAAAAGTAGCAGAGGATGGTTTCGATCCATCGACCTCTGGGTTATGGGCCCAGCACGCTTCCGCTGCGCCACTCTGCTTCATATGTGTACTAGTAGTCTAACCGAACATGTTCCATGAACTTGGCATTAGCAACTTGTGCAACTTCCAAATTTTTATCCTCGTGATGGCAGCCCATGACCAATAACGACTAGGGGTTTCACAACTTTGCCATATGCCTCGATTTGTGTAGAAACTAGAAAGTGATCATGGAATGTGAGCTGCTACAGCCTGTGACATTAACATGGCCGGCATGATGTGATTCGAAAGCACTCTACTAACTAGAAAATTGGTTGTGAGCAACACTGGCTCACACTCAAATCACTGCTTTTCACCAGAAAAATATTTTATTTCTACTAACTAGTATACGAAATACTGTAGGTGGATCAACACCATGCTAGCTCTCAATTGCCAGAGAGGCGTTTCTATTCAGACCTGCAAACCTATTATTGCGAATGAATTCTAAAGAAGACATAGTCCTCATTGTGCACGCAAACAGGTAACGGAGACTCCCTTGAATCAGGCTAAGACCTGTGGAGAATCTACACTGAATAAAAAATAAAATACAAACTCAGTCCAAGGCCTTGATTCAAACCGCCATGTCTTCTCTCCACCATATAATATCATATGCGTCCTCATTGCTGCAGGTTTGCAAACTGGTGAAGATGGACTGCTCAAAGGTGCCGGCGGGCAGTCCGTCAATGCGCTGACGAACTCCGCGCTCTACAAAAATAACAACCTCTCTGGCGCAGGCTGTGATTACATCTCTGAGTTCACAGGTCCAACACTGCATCCTGTTGTCAGGAGAGGTTCCTGTGACACCAAGCGACCCGCCTTGTGCATCGTACAACCCTAAATGATCCAGTAACATGACTGGCGGTATGAGGTTTTGATTGGTCTGGGCCTATCCTCGCCTTTCATACAGTTTGTGTAAGGTATGGAGGGTATACATATGACCTCCTCAGCAGTAATCACATGTTGGAAGGCAAAACGTTGGTCCGGTCATGGCCTGACCAAGTGGACCGTTTCCACTGAGCCTGCATAACAGCTACCTGTCCCAAAGTTGAGTAATCTCTAAAGATGTGATGTCTGTACGAATGATGCATGCATGGACATGCTGATTGGCCGTTGCCCGGACAATGATCTTGTGACATGCATGACGTCTCTTTGTCTGCTACTCGACTGTGCTGTATAATGTACATAACACGTTACGTGTAGCTTGGGGGCCTTTGAAGTGGTTCCTGTCTCAGCGCCCTTGACTCTATGTACAATGTGCCCTCTGCCATCAGGCCCGTTTGAGTAATAATTATAACAATGTTGTGTGAACAAAATCGGCAAATTTATCTTGTTCCCAGGCAAACGGTGAACCAGTTGGCCTACTCTCTGCATTGCGCTTGCTAAATTTACTACAGAATATCCATCCCTGCCTGTATTTATACCCAACATGCTCATACCCGTACACATACACGTACATGCATTCATGGATAGTTTCCCCAGCATGCAGGGGATTCCCCAGCATGCAGGGGATGCAGTAATGCACCATGGCTACCTACTAGTTAGTGCCTCTGTCTACTCTGTATGACATTACACTGCTAGACCACTGTGTATTACAATATCTTCCAACTTGCATTTGTTACAAAGTAATTCTTTGTCAACATCTTTCATATTCTTTTCAAGTCATTTGATGTCGAATACAGAGGACTGCCTTGGCTAAGAGAGTCAGCAAGCTCGTGAGTCCGAGCCGTGCTCATCTTGTACATAAGAAGGTGTGTGTGGAGGGTGGGAGAGGGGGAGAGGGGAAAAGGGAGCAGAGAGGCACAGGGGGGGGGGGGGGACTGGTTTGAGCATCAACCAACCACTGACATAATTATAATCCTGCTCAATGAAATCCAGTCGCGTCACTCAAGTACTGGTATGTGCCTGGCGTTGCACAGCCATAGACCTGCGGACACAGGGCTGCAAAATGGTGCAAGGTGCAAACTTGAGTGACACGACTGGATTTCATTGAGGAGCACGGTACATTCCCTGTGCTAACTGCTAACCAATAATATCACTCTTCTTCTATCTCACTAGGCACAAGCATGATCGCATAGCCTTGCGTATGATGACATCACACCCAGTGAACTCACGCTGCTGTGAAATTACTGAATGAAGGTGTGTACGTACCCCACGCGTACTAGTACTCAAAGCTGCAAGGCCAGCACCCTAGGGGCCCCTAGACGTGCGACAGGATTTCCATGTCCAGGGCAGTGCTTGTACATAGAAGGGGGCTCAAGACCGCAGCTACCTCTTCCCAGCCCCTAGTAGTAGTGAGGTTTAGCATTCCGAATTTCGGTTCGGCGCTTTTCGGTCATTTGTCGAACATCAAAATGTCGAATTTTCGTGCCAACGTTTGTTTTGCAAGTCGAAAATGATGTGTTTTCATTTCGTGAGCCCTAGCATCAGCAACTTCCTGTCCCGTGCTCCTATTCTTGCTGATTCCAACGAACTTTGATCGCCCTAAGAGCCGAGGGCCTAACCTGTCTCCTCAGTCGCCTCGGAAAAACCAACTCCATGGCCAAGTCAAATTTTATGAGTATCGCCATAGTCTTTCCAGTCACACAGATGACGGTGAGGACACTCCAGGCGAAAGAGAGTAGACAAGCAGTGGAGGAGCAATCAGAGGTAGCTGACGACGCTGATGTCGCCAAAGACGCCTGGGAAGCGATCCCGAGATAAGAAACCTCTTTGAATAAATCACGCGCTAGCGCTAGCCTATAGCGCTCTTCTACAGAAAATTCATCCGAAAAATATTTTCGGCAAAGTGAGCTTTTTCCGAACAAACATGCCGAATCTTCGCGTGCATTTTCGACCTCGCTCCGGCGTGCCGAATCTTTTTGCCGAATTTCGGAATGCAAAACCTCGCTAGTATTAGAAAAATACTACTGCCTACTACTAGCACCAACAGCTGCCTCAGAAACCGCCAAAGGCACAACCAACAGTATTCCGTGGTAATGGGTTCTATCGCTAGCACCCTTTTCAAGCGCATGCATGCAGAAATTCTCACCTGCCCTCCCTCACTTGCGATCCCAGCGCCCGTCTTGTTCGTTTGTGCGACTTTTCTGACTCTGAAGCGCGACATTCCTCACGGTGCTCCTGTGTGTTGGACGTTCACACCTGCACGACCTGGCCTGTCGCTGGGTAGTGCCTCGAACCGACACTACGCTAGTCTGCAGGCGCAACCTACTCCAGCGCACACTGAGCGAGCCAGGCTTGTTGTGTCCACGCACAAAACTGTTGAACACTGTCATGCAGATCTGCAAGCTTTATGCTCGCTACTCAAAGCACACACTGCTCCAGCACCAGCCTTCGACCGGTAAAGACTTGAGTACACCAAACCGTGGGAACCGTCGGGTGGATTTTATGCATGGATGAAGCTAGCTCTCATTCAGCTTGACTCTGACTCTCCCGTGACTGTGTGACTCAGCTGCTGATATTCCTCTAGCTTGGTAGGGCGAACACCCTAAGTGTAAACATTGGACGGAGAATGACTTCTCGGCACGGCTCGGCTCGCTCAATCCACAACTCGCCTGTCCGAACACGAAGACGGGTACGGGTGTCGACAACTAGGCAGTTCTGAGCTCCATCCCTACCCAGGCTATTAGTCCAAGAATGGTAAGGTTGTATTTCAAGTGTTTCACCCGCGGCTTTTAGAGCTACTGCTAGGCCCTAGGGCCTCCACCACCGAATCCACGTTTTATCGTTGACTTTCTTCTTCGAAAACTTTGTCATTTAGAAAACATATTTTGTAGAACGGTTCAATGGTTCATAGGTCAAGCAGCGTGAGTGACCTTTACCTATGCAGAGTGCAGTCGGGACGATACTGAACCAGCGACCAGAAAGTCGTGCAACAATGGTACATGGGGGGGGGGGGGGGGGTGGGGAGGGGGGGGGGGGGTGGTGGCGTTCATGACTCCCTGGCCTGGTTATTATTATTATTATTAAACTCAATCTCGTAGCATGTGCACGCATTGCCAATGTGGGGAGCAACCCCAGAGATGAGGGCGATAACCAGCCATGGTAAAAAGTACAAAAGAAGACAAGAGGTTCGAACCAAAGCCAAAGGCAGTGAACAGCATCTCACCCTGGGTCGCCCAGACCCAACGCGCAGCGTTATCTTACATGCATGACCGGTTAAAGGGCACTCACCAGTGCTTCTCGTCATCTATCCTCATGGCCGTGTTCCGTGGGGTTTGCTTTCTTTGGCCATAGCTATGATTGCTGATCACATGTGCACTCGTTACTCGTATGTAGATGTACCGGTATCTTGTCCGAGCCTTGACGTTACGCCGCCTCGGTCTACCGGGCACCCTGTGTGTGCGTTTTGGAGGAAATATTACTACTCTTTTGCCCTTTTGTGTGTACAGAGGGACATTTCATGCCCATTTTCTGGCCCTTCCCAATAGAAACGTATACGATTCTGAATTGCGGACTTTCCTAAGTTGCGGGCAGTAGGCTCCGGTGGATTATGCTCGCGAAATCATGGAATTATGCTTTCATGGATTCTCACATTATGCTCACAAAATCCTCGTATTATGCTTTGGCACGTGGGGATACATATTCACTTTGTTGTACTTATGGAGCCTCAAAGTTCGGAAAATTGTGCCTTTTCGTACTTGCAAGTGGCCACAAGTACAACAAAATGTGACGCGAGTATATCCATACCAAGGTGTTCATGCATACTAGAGGTCAACATGGAAAAGAAGAAACATTATGTCTTCTATTCATTAGTTGGCTTCTTTTGTGAAAAAATTCTTTCATTGCCAAATAATTATTAGTTTGAGTTATCTTTGAAAATTATCATGTTCAACTGTCTTCATAATCGCCATACTCGTCCAACCGATGCCACCCTCACCCTGCGATTAATCGGCTCATCTCTCCCGTAGCTCCACCTCTTCTTCCATCATGACCAAACATCAACTATACCTCATTTTTTTATTAGAGCAATATCCATAGCCTGCACAGTCATGGCTGCTAAAATTCAGAGGTCATGCCTTCGTAACATGCATAACGCACATGTCCATGTACGCGGAGTTTTGCGGACTACCCGTCACTATCTCGTCCGCCCCAGGATACCTGATAACGGCTGATTCACTCACATCTTCTGCTGCATGTACTGTCCCATTCAATGATTGTGAGAAGGAACTTTGAAGAAGACGAGTTCGAGCATACAATAATGTATTGCCATGCGTTCTACCCTGCTTTCCATTGAAAACACATCTGCATGACCCCCGAACCCTTTACCATGCAGACTACCAGCACTGATCAGGTGCATTGTACACAATTGTGTAGCCTACGTACTAGAACTGTGGTACAATCATGCAGTTATGCTCCTACTTCCGAAAGGATGCCAAATTACGCTCCAAATTTTCAACCACCAAATTATGCCAATAATTATGCTGGCATAATCCGCCGGTGCCTAGCGGGCAGTACCCGGTCGCGGACCGCCCGGAAAAGAGCGCGTTCAGACTGCCGCTAAAAAGAGCCGGAATGGGAAAGTTTTCAAGGTGATTTGATCACGTGACGGTACTGGCACTTTGCCAGAGTGAAATGTTTTACTGCTGCGGCGGAAACAGCATTCTGGCAGTAAATAAAGGTGCTCTGGCTGGGAGCCGTGGTGGAAATCCCTTCTCAGTGCCGCGGTGAGAGCTGCGCAAGTAACATTAGCTTATCGGTTGTGCGAATGTCCTTCACGGTTTATTGCCATTCCCAGTTTGACGGGGTTCTCGGTAGTCTAATAGAGATATGGATGCGCGGTTCAACTGCCTAACTTTTTCATGCTGATTTTCCTGACGCTATTCTCCACCCAGATCAACTGACTCTTCCCATAGGAAAGTGCAGTATCTGACAAGTAGGCCCATCAACGCGGAGTCATGTCTCGAGATGGTGTGAACGTTTCAGTACTACATGTATGTGGCCATTAGTCCCGGTTGGAGAGCTAACCCTGTACTGGAAGAGATACATGTATGTCACTAGCTCTTAGCGGATGACCCTGGCATAATTTTTGGCATAATCTTCGGATTTTGTCTAAAAATTATGCCCTGGCATAAAAGGACTTCTGAGACCAGACGGTCGGCATAACCTTACGGTGCTGGCTGAGGGTTAATGCTCCAGGCATATTTAGGCACGTTACAGGAAATAACCTGGTGAAATCTCCCCTAAGTTAAAAGCCATGCTGTCATGGTGTCAGAGTCGTTGTAACGTTGCAAAGTGCAACAAAAGTGCAAGGGTACAGTATAGCACCATCATTGGCATAATTCCAGAATAATGTGGCATAATCACTGGCATAATCACTGGCATACTATGATATGGGCATACTGAAAAGCATAATTCAGCAATTTACCGAGCATAGTCCGTCAAGGACGGTTTGTACTGGGTTCACCATACCATTAGATTGGACCGCAGCATAGTATAGCATAATCAATGGCATAATTCCAGTATAATGTAGCATAATCAATGGCATAATTTGGGCATAGTGGAAAGCATAATTCAGCAATTTCTCCAGCACTAGGACGGTTTGTACTGAGACCGAGTTCACCATAATTACTCCTTTTTTAGTGCTTTCTAGTTGTATGTACCGGTACATGCACGTGCAGCACTTTCAATCCTTTCAAAACCCTCCGTACCTCGGTACCGGAGCCGTGCCAGACCTTTCCCTCATTGCATGGGTGAAATGAGT